TCCAAGGACCAGTCCCTCCTTGCAACATGCCCAAAGTATGTCAGACAAAGCTTCAGAATCCTTGACTCCAGGGAACATTCTGGCTTGACCCTCTCCAGAACAAACCTGTTTGTTCTCCTAGCAGTCCATGGTATATTCAACACTCTTCTCCAGCACCCAGTAGAGTATCAGAATATATGGTGCATGCTGAAGAAATGGATAGTTGACATTATGAAACTTACTAAGAGATAGGATTGTTCTTCCAATTCTGAGTACATGGTTTCTAGAAAAAAAATAGGGGTAATGATGACTAGTAGAATGGAAGTTGAAAGTAAAAGTTTTAACATGTATTGGGGGAAATGGAAAGAGAGAGAGGCAAAATACATTCCTTTGAGTTCTTACCCTTTCCATGCCTTGGTTGTCTACAGTATTTAAATAGTGCTGGGAATATTAATAAACTACGATGTTTGAAGTAGTATTTCCAGTTTGCCCAAATTTTCAGCTTCTTTAAGAATGGATCTCATGGTTCTGAAATACTGAAATGAGCAGCAAGAAAGTAAAACTCATGTCAGCTGTGGGTTGTTTTGTGTGTTGTTTTTTTTTTTAGGTATCTTCCAACCTCTTCCTTTCCCATGGAGTCAAGCAGTTACGTGGAATTGAATGATGCAATAACCCAGATATACCCTAACGTACAGATACAAGAAATCACTAAAGAGCTGCACTGCTCACTGTGTCAAGACTGGTTCTGTGATCCACTGATGCTAAGCTGTGGCCACAACTTCTGCCAAGCTTGTATCCAAAACTTTTGGAAGCATCAAACAAATGAAACCTTCTGTCCAGAGTGTAAAATGATGTGTGAATATAGCAACTGTACATTTAACATCGTAGTGGAGAAGCTGGTAGAAAAGATTAAGAAGCTACCCTTAATCAAAGGCCATCCACAGTGCCCAGAACATGGCGAGAACTTGAAACTGTTCAGTAAGGTGGAAGGGAAACTGATCTGCTTTCAATGCAAAGATGCTCGGTTGTCTATAGGGCAGTCTAAAGAGTTCTTGCAGATCTCAGATGCTGTCCAAGTCTTCAAGGTATGTGATATGTGAGCCCTGGACCTTGAGCAATCCTAAGGAAATCTGAGAAAAATCTTTTGTATAGCTTCTTTCTCTTGTTGTCGTGGGCTGTTGAGTTGGAACCAAATGATAGATGACTCTCCAGTGGGTTTTCAGAGGCAATTAATCTCAGAGAAGGAGACTTCCCATCTTTCTCCCATGGAGCAGATGGTGGATTTGAACCACGTACCTTTGGGATTACAGCACAGCTTCTTACTACCAGGCCATTAGGGCTCCCTGCTCCTACCTTTTTAATTAAATAATGATTAGAAATCCCACAATCTTCAGAAGAAAAAAAAATACCTTGTAAATCTCTTTATTTAGACTTGTTGCTTATAGAACAGGGATAATGGAGGAACTCTTGTATCCTGACTCAATAAATTAAAATATTTACCTAAATTCTGCCAGGAACACACTCTGTTAGACATTATAGAGAACATGGATGCAAAAATAATGCTCTTGTTCAGTAAAGTTTCAAATGAGTAATATAATAGATCAAATATAAGACAGTATACTGTTGAGAGCAAAATACTGTCCCATTTATAATTCATAAGTGTTTAGAATTCAAAGATTAAAATAACCTGAAACAGTCAGGTGGATACAGTTAGGTGAAAGAAAGGTATAGGACTTGAGTTGGGAAAGTATTTGGATTCGGATGAGCAGAAGGAAGAGAAAAAGATTCCAAATGGAGAAATAAATGTAAAAAAGATGATGAGAACAGTATAAATAGAAAAATACTTATAGTTCTACTATAATTTCCAACTCCCATATCTTCCAATAAGAAAACAAAATGAAATTTTTCTACAGCTTGTATTTTTTTTTTTTAATTCTAGAAAGAGACAAACTATGACATAGAGGAAAAGGAATAGTTCCTTCTACCACGAGCTTGGCTTTCCTCCCCCCTTCCCCCCAGCACACCGGGCTTTAGGGTAGATATATAGATCACTGTTAGGGCCTTTGCTTTAGTAAGTGGGTTGTCAGTTAATTGTACTTGATATTTACAGGAGGAACTTAGCATTCATCAGAGTCAACTGGAGGCAAACCTGAAGGAGCTTCAGACTTTGAGGAACATGCAGAAAGAGACTATTGCTGCTAACAAGGTGAGAGGCAAGGCGAGAAATTATGATATAAAACTGGAATACATCTTCTGTGACCTATTTTAGGTGGGCAAGAAAGGTGGATATGTATATATTTTATTAATCTTACTAAAGATATTTACTCAGGCATCTGAGCTACAGAATTAAAAAAATAGCACTGTTGGGTGGAAAGGAATATGAAAGAGGAGTAAGTTTCTAATAGTTGATTTACACAGAATAGATTGTCATTTCCCTTAATATGCTGACCTCTTTGATGGTTCAAAGGAAACTGGTGGCACAGTGGTTAAGCACTCGATTACTAACTGAAAGGCTGGCGGCTTGAACAAGTCAAGTGCTCCAAAAGAGAAAGATGTGACAATCTGCTTCCATTGTGCTTAGAGGTTTGGAAACTCTGTGAGGCAGTTCTACTCTGTTCTGTAGGTCACTATGAGTTGGAATAAACTAAACAGCAATGTTTTCTTTTGTTTCATGGTCCAATTACTAAATGATTGTTGTTGAGGTTGTGATTTATCTGGTCTTTCCAGTTTACCTTTGTCAGTATAAAGAACTTACCTGAAAATTCCACTAAAACTGCTATGTCCAAGGAAATATATTTTTTTTTCCTTTGAGTTTACAAGTAAATTACATATGGACCAAAGTTTTTCAGAATTCTAGGACAACATTACTAGTTAGGGATTTGGCAAATCAATCTCTAAACTGGGTAGTTTAAATTTGGAGTTCTGTTTCTTTATGAATTATTTTGTGGAGGAGATTTCTCAGGCATTTGACTCCTGCCTGAAGAAATATGTGGAATGAGAGAAAGAAGAAAGTTAGATGGAAATATTAATGACTCCAAAGAATCTTCTTGCTATTTTAAGAATTCTTAATTTAGCTATTAGTCAAATTTTAGTCATCCAACAAGTGTTTATTGAATGGGGTTAGGCTTTGTATAAAGTGCCAGAAGTGGGAGGCATGCTAAATAATCACACAATAAAGTAACAACTTCCATGCAGCCATACCCGCCAGCATTGCCACGCTGCCCACGGATTGAATCTAGGTCTGCAGAAGTCACACAGATTCATCTCTACCTGTGTTTTTTAAAATATGTCCAGACATACAGCTGATTCTGGTGCACATTATTTGTCAAAGGGAGGGGGAAAAAAACCAACACAAGTTTTCCTCGTTTGAAATTCAACAGAACAGTCTGGGACGCTGTTACAGACTCAAGATGTACACGGCAGGTGCCCTGCTGCCAGAAGGACAGTACTTACTGTTTGAGAAAAATAAAAGCAAAAAGGTAAAAAAAAAAAGTAACAACTATGCTAAATTCCATGAAACTATAGATAATTTGCTAGGGAAGCAGGTACATGGAAAAGCTAATCCTGACTGGTGGTGAGGATAGACCCTAAAGAAGATAGTTTTAAAAAATTAAGCATGGAAGTCCAAATGAACTGGGTGAAAGTAACAGGAAGAAGGTGGCCTGGAGAAGACCGTTCTGGAAAAAACCCTAAGAAAGGAAGTTAGCTGCTGTACTAAAACAACAGCAACAAAAACAACCAAAACCAACAACACCAGATAGCCAATAAAACTGATATATACTAATTGAGTGGAAACTGGAGAGGTAAAGATATGGACCCAATCAAGTTCTTGAGGATAATCTTAAGCATTTCAAACTCATCCTGTAAAAAATTAAAACCATTAAAATAAGAGATGATTTCAGCTCACTTTGGTTTATTTTATTTAAATTTATTATTAATTTCAGTAAAAATGTAAAGAGACTTTGGATTTCCATTCATTGATTGTTGCACTTTTCTCTCCTCCCAACTCTCCTCCCTAGTACACTACCCTCTTGGAAAAGTAAAAGACAAATTCTTTCATTGTTTTACAAACCCTCCCCCAGGTCCACTCCACCATGTAGCCTTTGCTCTAGATTCCTGTCATGACAAAAAAACCTAACCACATGCCCTTTTAAACAGTTTTCTCCCTCATCTGTTTCAATGCAGTATACATTATTGAACCTACCTTTCTCAGTCTCTCCCCAAACCCAAGGTCAGTCTTGTTTTATAACAGTGGGACCATGCAGTATTTGTCCTTTTGTGACTGAGATACTTCAGTCAGCATAATGTCCTCCAGGGTCACCCATTTTGAATAATATTGCATGAGTTCCTTGTTTTTCAATGCAGCATAGTATTCCATTGTGTGAATATACCACAGCTTCTCTATCCATTCATTTGTTGATGGGCACTTAGGTTGTTTCCAACTCCTTTCTATGGTGAACAAAGCCGCAATAAACGTGGGTGTGCATATATCAGCTTGGATGTCAGTTATGGTCTCTTTGGGGTATATTCCCAGTAGTGGAATTGCTGGGTCAAACGGTAGCTCTATTTGCAACTTTTTGAGAAAGCGCCATACCACCTTCCACAGTGGTTGCACCATTTTACACTCCTACCAACAGCGACTAAGGGTTCCAATTTCTCCACAACCTCGCCAGCATTTGTTGCTTGCTGCTCTGTTAAATTTTGCTATTCTGACTGGGATGAGATGATATCTCATAGATGTTTTAATTTGCGTCTCCTTTAGAGCTATGGATTTTGAATATTTCTTTATGTGCTTGTTAGCCATCTGAATATCTTCTTCGGTGAAGTGTCTGTTCATATCCTGTGCCCATTTTTCTATTGGATTATTTACCTTTATCTTGTTGTGTTGCTCAAGTATTTTATAAATTCTGGATATAAGTTCCTTATCTGATATGTCATTACCAAATACTTTTCCCCAGTCAATGGCTTCCTTTTTTACCCTATTGGAGAAGTTTTTGGATGTGCATAGGGATTTGATTCTTAGAAGATCCCATTCATCTACGTTATCTTCTCCTGGTTGTAGGTTTTCAGCTCACCTTGAAAAGAACATTTTGTTAGCTCTGTGAACAATGAATTGAAGAGGGGCAATAATAAATATCATCAATACCAGCAATCAAGAAATCAAAATATATATTACATTAAGAAAGTCTGCTGTCAAGGACCTCTCCAAGATATTAAGGAGCAATGATACCAATTTAAGGTGCCCCTGATTCAGGCCACGGTTTTTTCAATCACTTGCTCTGCATCTGAAAGTTGGATGATGACTAAGACAAAAGAAGAATTGATGCCTTTGGGATGTGGTGTCAGAGAAAAGTACAGAATATTCCATGAACTGCAAAAAGAACAAACATATTTCTTGGAGAACGTGCAGCCAGAGTGTTCTTTGGAGGCAAATATAACAGAGCTTTGTCTCATTTACTTTAGGCACATTGTTAGGTGGGATGAATTCCTTGGAAAGAGACATTATGCTTGGAAAGGTGTAGCATCAGCAAAGGAGAGGAAGATCCTTAATGAGATGCATTGACACAGTGACTGAAGAAATGACTTGAGTATGTCAGAGATTGTGAGGATGGCACAGGATAGGACAGGGTTTAGATCTGTTGTTTATAGGGTTGCAATGAGTCATACTCATGGCACGTAACAATAATAAATACAAAGGTTAGAAAGCTACTGTATCAGTCCCAGAGAATGATGATAGTATGGATTAAAGAGGTAATGAATAGAGAGAGAAACAACTTCTATATATGCTTTGGAAATTATTTTTTTGGAGATAGTTTTTTGATTATATGGGAGGGAGGAACATAGGGACGGCTGTCTGTAGGAATCTTGAGCTCAGAAGTTGGTCTGGGCTAGAGACTAAAAGTCAGCATATGGATGGCATTTAAAGCTATAGATATTCAAGATATTGACAGGGAAACAAGTACAGAGAGAAAATGGATCCTATCAAGTAATGTTTAGAGCTTATAGAGACTAGAACTAATAAATAAGACTGTAAGTAGAATTAACAAATAAGACTAGAAATAGTGGTGGCAAAGCTAGGAGTAAACTAGAATAGTGTGAGCTAAAGGAAAGAGAGACTTAAGATTACTTTAAGATTGCAATTATAATAATGAGCCATGGAATCCAAGCTAGAAAACAGGGGATACAAAGACAGAAAAAGTGGATAAACAATCCAATTATTGTTCAATGCATTTACCTAGGCAATCAGGCTTGGAACATAATATGTTATTTTGGAGGCTGTGCAATAGCTGGGAATAATATAATTTGACTATGGGAATGTGTGATTAAAGGTGAAAATCATTAGAGAAAAGGGACTGAGAAGCCAGGTTGTCCAAAATTTCATCAACTACAATGTTGACTCACCAAAGAAAAGAGCTGAAGTGTAGCAGTTATCTATTCTAATACTTTGAAACTATAATTTTGCTAGCTGTGGAGAATGAATTAAAGAGGGGTAAAGATAAATGCAATTTGCTTTAAACATTGCTCATCTCCTGCTGCTGCTTTATTTTCTTGACAGCAGGAGTAGCTTCCTCCTAGTTCTGACTTCTGTATCAAGACATTTTTTTTCAAGCCTTCTTATAGCCACAAGCTAAGGAGCCCTACTTCATAGGTTAATTTATACTTCTGGATAGGCGAGAGTATTATCACATATTCTAGAGTGATTAACTCCACAGCTTTATCTAACATTGCATTGCAACTACCTCAACATTGCAATAGGAACCTAGCGAACCCTTTTCATTCTTTCATAAAGATTCTTTCTAAACTGTTAAACTAGCTGGGAAATAAGGAAGAAGTGGCCTACAGAGATGCTTTTAGAATAAGTAACTGTTTATACTCAACAACCATTTGTGTACTTTTTGCCTTATTGCATTTTCTGAGTTGTCTGAGTGTTGGTGGTATGGACCCCCATCCCTGAGTGCTAGTATTGGTAATTACCATGGTTTGATATGGAGGTTTCTAGGAAAACAAGCTACATCTACAGCAACACATCTCTTTGGAGTTTTTAAAGCTGCATCAGTTCCTGCACAGCAAAGAAAAAGAAACTTTAAATCAGCTCCGGGAAGAGGCCACAATTCTGGATGAGGAGATGGAGCTGAATTTGAACCAACTTCAGGAGCAGTGCCTTCTAGCCAAAGAGATGCTGGTGAGCATCCAGGCCCGGATGGAACAGCAAAATGCCTTTGACTTTCTCAAAGTAAGGTCCAATAGCAACATGATTACGGGTATACTTAAGTGGGGAAGGATGTTGGAAGGGATGTAGAACTGGTTTTTCAAAGCAATACTAAAATGAAAGTGAAACCTCAACTGCGATAATTTTACTATTCCCTGGGAAGAAAGTATGTGGCATCTTTTGCTTCGTGTACAATAGAAAACTACTTTTACTCTCCTAGAGAAGACACTAATAAAATCCAAAAAGAATACAGGGAGCCCTGACTTACAATTTATTTTAATTACCACTATAGAGTTATATCTTAGATTGCATTTGCTGTCAGCAATCAAAAATCAATCTGTTTAACAAACTATTTGCTAAATTTGCTACCTGAAATGTCACTGTAAAGTTCTTAATTAGCAAAAGTAGGGAAAGGGGGCCTTAGGGTTGTTTTCTACCTGAGACTATTGGGAAGTACAGGTTAAAAGTGTAATTTTAATCTAATCATTGTCATGTTGACTCCTTATTTCCTACAAGAGGGAACATTAGAAAACCAGAGCAAAGGAAGGCTGATTTATCCTGTGCTAGATGGGGGATTCAAAGCGTTCCCAGTCAGGAAAAAAAGGCATACATAGAGAATAAGAGAAGTTGGTAGAGATGGGATGGGTCCATCTACACTGACCCCAGTATTACTGATTAAACTCTGATGGTGGCCAATATTAATAAATAAATTTCTGGAGTTGACGAACAGGAACCTGATGTTCTTATTTCTCTCTCTTCTTCTAGGACATCTCAATCCTCTTGGATAGGTAAGTGCTTCCCATTAGAATTTTTAACAGTCTTCCTTCAGTCCTGGAGATATTTAAGAATAAATTATTTCTTTCCTCTGCAGCTTGGAGCAAGGAATGAGAGTGCTGGTACCCAGAGAGCTTATCTCCAGAAAACTGAGCCTTGGCCAGTTCAAAGGTCCTATCCAGTACATAGTATGGAAGCAAATGCAGTCTGCACTTTCTCCAGGTATTCGTGGTTAGGTAGCTGTTAGCTCCTGGAATGCCTAATTTATGTTTCTTCTTTGAAACTCTTCTGTGACCTTGATCAGTACATTAGAGATTGGAATGAGAGAAAGGTCAGTAGGTGTTAGGATGATTTCAGTTATATCAGTCAGTATTGTTAAGTGCTATCAAGTTGAGTATGACTTATAGCAATCACATGAACAACAGATCTAAACTCTGTTCTATCCTGTGTGTCCTTATCATCCCTGACATATTTGAGTCAATTGTCCCAGATCCTCCTGTCAATCCATCTCATTGAGGATTTTCCTTTTCTTCCACTTTTCCAAGCATGATATCCTTTTCCAAGGAATAGCCTCTCTAAACAATATGTGAGACAAAGTTTCATCAGCTGCCTCCAAGGAACATTCTGGTTGCACTTAGTCCAATACATATCCGTTTGTTCTTTTGGCAGTCTACGGGATATTCAGCACTCTTCTCCAACACCATTAACTCAGATGTATCAGTTCCTTTTCTGTCATCCTGACTTATTGTCCAGCTCTCAGATGCATAACAGGTGACTGGAAAGACTGTGGACTGAATCAGGCACACCTTGGTCTTTAAACTGATATCATTGATCTTCAGAACTTTACTTTTCCCCTTGTTGTGTACCATGAAATTGGATCTGACTGACACAGGAGTAGAATGCTCCTTACAGTGCAGCTTCTTGCCACTTGCTCTTCAGAACTTTCGAGTATGCCCTCATAGGAGTCAGAATTACTTCTTGACCTGCAGTTATGCGTGATTGTTCTATCAAATGTCTCAGTGGTCAAAATTTTATCCTCTTGACAAAACAGTAATTTAAAACCCTGAGCTTCTCTGCCCTGAATAGGAAGTTTCTGGAGAAACTATTGTGTATTAAGTTTCTGGAGAAACTATGCATGCATAGAGTTTTAGGGTGTTTTTTTGGTTGGGTTTTTCTTTTTCTTTCTTTTTTTTTTTTTGTACATAGAGTTTTTAAGGATATCTTTGCACTTGATAGGAAGGCTCTGGTGCCCTAGTTGGTAGGGAGTTGCATTGCCAAACCAAAAGTAAGGGTTCAAATCCACCAGATGGTCTGTAGGAGAAAGATAAACAATTTCCACCCATTTGCTTTACAATTTCTTGACTGAAGGGTCAGCGATGAGTCAGGTCTGGCTTGACAACAACATCTGATACTCATAAAGTATAAAATTTTAGGAAATATTTAAAAATTGTTAGTGCTCCAGAAAAAAGCAAATAATGTCAATGCTGTTGTTGTTTGCCTTCAAGTGACTATGACTTAGAAATACCTTATTAAAATATCTGAACCTTGCCCTATTCTGCACCATCCTCATGAACTCCAACATGCTTGAGCCCACTGTATCACTGTGTTGAGTCACTGTGTCAACAATTTTGTTGAGGGTCTTCCTCTCTTTCTCTCACTGTTCATCTTTCCCAATTTGATCTCCTTTCCCAAGAACTAGCCCCTCCTGACAACATGTCCAAAGTATTTAAGTATGTGAGACATAATTTCACCATCTTTGCCTCAAAGAAACACTCTAATTGCACTTCCTCTAAGACATACTTTTTTTGTTCCTTTGACAGTCCAGAAGATGATCAGTACTCCAACACAACTCAAAAGCATCAATTATTCTGGCATGCTTATTTATTGCTCAACTTTCATATGCATAGGACCTGTGAAAATGTCATAGCTTGGATCAAGCACACCTTAGTCTTTAAACTGACATACTTTGCTCTTTAGCACTTTGGAGAGGTCCTTGGAAGCAGATTTTCCCGATATATCATGTCTTGATTTCTTGACTGCTGGTACCATAGATGGGTCCAAGCAAAATAAAATCATTGACAACTTTTATCTTTTCTTCATCTCCCAGGATATTGCCTATTGATACAGAGGTGAGAATTTTTGTTTTCTTAATGTTGCTATTAAATGCTCTTGAGTTGAGTATGACTCAAAGTGACCCTATGAATAACAAACCTTAACCCTGTTCTATCCTGTGCCATCCTCATAATCTCTGATACACTTGAGCCCATTGCTACAATCACCGTGTCAATCCACCCTATTGGGGCTCTTCCTTTCTTTTGCTGACTCTCCACCTTCCCAAGCACCTTCCAAGGAATAGCCTCTCCTAGGAATATGTTCAGAGTATGTGATCCAAAGCTTCACCATCCTTGCCTCCAATGAGAACTCTGACTGCACTTTTTCCAAGACACATCTGTTCATTCTTTTGACAGTCCAAAAGATGCTCAGTACCCTTATCCAACACAACAATTAAAAGGCATCAGTTCTTCTGTCATCCTTCACTATTCAGCTCTCAAAGGCATCACATATGATGGAAAAGACCATGGCCTTAATCAAGTGCATGTTAGTCTTTAAACAGACATCTTTACCTTCAGTAGTTTGGAGAGGTCCCTGACAGTGAAATTGCCCAAAAACAATATGTTTCCTGGTCTCCTGACTGCAGGCACTGAGGGTGTTAATTACAGATCCAAGTAATATGAAATAACTGACAGTTTCAATTCTTTATCCATATATCATGATAGATATTGGCCCCATGGTAAGTACCTTAATTTTCTTGATACTGAGAAATAATCCATATTGAAGGCTGTATTCTTTGATCTTCTGCAGCAAGTGGTTCAAATCCTCCTCACTTTAAGCAATCAAGTTCATGTCATCTACATAACACAGGTTGTTAATATTGAGATGTAACCCATATGAAAGGCAGTAGATTCAGCAGTAAGTGCTTCAAGTCTTCTTCAGTCTGTACAAGTAAGGTTGCGTTATTAGCATAACTCAGGGCTATAGATGAATATTCCTCTGATTCTGATGTCACATTCCCCTTCATTTAGCCTAACTTCTCAGATTATTTTCTCAGCATTTAACTGAATAAGTATGAAGAAAATATGCAACTCTGATGAACATCTTTCCTGATTTTAAAGCATACAGAGTTCTATTCAGACAATTGCTTCTTCATCTATATATAGGTTTGCAATTCTAAGATTCCCATTATTTTCAATGTTATCTATAATTTGTTATGCTCCACATAGGCAAATGCCTTTGCAAGTCAATAAAAGACAAGTAAACATCTTTCTGATAGTCTCTGCTTTCAGAGAATATTCTTATTAGGCATACTTGATGTGAATAAATATGTCTAATAAGAGTATTAACTATTTTATCCCTTAATATATCTAATGACTGAACAGGACAAATGAGCACAAATGGCATTAAAAATATGCTAAAAGTGCTAAGTAAGATCTTTATAGAAAGAAGTTGTTTCTTGGAAGAAAGGATTTTGAAACTGTCTCATATACTTTGGGCACATTGCCAGGAGGGACTCTGAAGAAGGACATCATGTTTGGAAGGAGGGATAGCACAGGTGAAAAAGACCCTGGATGAGATGGATTGACACAGTAACTGGGGTAATAAAAGTAGGTATGTCAGAGACAGTTAAACTGACTTAAGATAGGGCAAGGTTTATAGCTATTGTACATACGGTTGTTATGAGTCACAGACAACTCAATGGCATATAACAACAACATAGAATTAATAGACTCATTAATATTATTCTTTGTAGTTTCCGATTTTATGTTGTTGTTGTTGTTGTGTACCGTAGAGTCAGAAGTTACCCATGGCTGACCCTTCAGCAGGTTTTCAGAGGCAGTTAATCACACCGGAGGAGATTGCCCATCCTACTCCCATGGAGCAGTTGGTAGCCTCTACCAGGAAATCAAAAGACAAATTGCACTGAGAAAATCTTCTGTCAGGGGCCTCTCCAGAGTACTGAGAAGCAATGATGTCAGTCTAGAGAAAAAGGTGCACCTGGTCCAGGCCATGGTCTTCACAATTACTTGCTATGCATCAGAGATCTAGACAATGACTAAGGATGATAGAAGAACTGATACTTTTAAGTTGTGTTGCTAAGAAAACAGGTTCATCCTGGAGAGGGTGAAACCAGACTGCTCCTTAGAAGCAAGGATTTTGAAGCTACATCTCACATACTCTGGGCATGTTGCAAGGAGGGACCAGTACTTAGAGAGGGACATCATGCTTGGAAGGGGAGAGGGACAGCACAAGAGAGGAAGACCTTGGAGGAGCGATGGATTGACTCAGTGACTGGAGTAAGGGCGTAGGTGTGTCAGAGACTATGAAATTGGCTCAGGATAGAGTAGAGTTCAGAGCTGTTGTACATAGGGTTGCTATGAGTTGGAGTCAACTCTACGACACATAACAACAACAAGAACAAGAAGTTTCTGATTTAATGTAAACTTCCAGTCTATAACCCTGATGACAGTTTTTTTTCCAAAAAATAATTGACCCTGAGGTTTTTTAATCAAAACAAGTTCAATGCTGTTGAATTTGTTCTAACTCATAGTGATCCTATGAGACAAAGTAGACTCATTAAGGCAGCAGATTCTCACCTTTTTCACATGAAGAGAGGCTGGTGGATTTGAACTGCTGACTTTGGGTAGCAACAAGGTGTGTTAAATGTATGATAGCATGGGATATGGCAGGATTCAGAACCATTATTGGTTGCTCTAAGTCTTGGTCAACACAATGGTACATAATAACAACAACAAAACACCACCAAATCACTTTTGTAAAGTGCAAGTGCTATTTTGCATTCTTCTTTGCAAGGAATGAGGGTCTCGGTTGCTGTACATCTTTTATAAAATTTGAAAATGTCAATCTTTTACATTTAAACCATGATAACAACTTATTTTGGCTTTAGTTTTTCTAGTGAGTAATGATGTTGTGCATCTTTTCATATGCTTAGTTGCCATTCAGACACTTCTTTTGGTTAAATGCCTTCATTTTGTCCATCTTTTTTAATTGGACTTTAAAAAATATTATTAATAAATTTTAAAGGATACTGATCTCAAGATATTAAGGCGTTGAACAGAAGATTGCAAAGGACAACACAGGAAGACAAAGTAAAGTATTACAATGAAATGTGCAAAGAGCTGGAGCCAGAAAATCAAAGTGGCTGAACTCGCTTAGCATTTCTTAAGCTGAAGGAACTGAAGAACAAATTCAAGCCTCGAGTTGCAATTAAAAAAGGATGCTTTGAGCAGAATATTAAATGATCCAAGAAACATTAAAAGAAGATGGAAAGAATATGCAGAGTCACTATATCAAAAGAAATTGGCAGACACAGAAGAATTTCATGAAACAACGTACTAGCAAGAGCCTGTGGTGAAGGAATAAGTTCAAGCTTCACTGAAAGAATTGGCAAAAAAACAAGCCCCCAGGAATTGATGGCATACCAATTGACATATTTCAACAAATAGACACTGCCCTGGATGTGCTCACGAAGTTGTACCAAGAAATCTGGAGGACAATCATCTGACCAACTGACTGGAAGAGATCTATATTTGTTCTCATTCCAAAGAAAGATAACCTGACAGAGTGTGGAAATTATTGAACAATATCATTGATATTACATGAAAGCAAGATTCTGCTGAAGGTTGTCCAAAAATTTCTAGAACAGCACATCAACAGAGAACTGTCTGAAGTGCAGGCTGGATTTAGAAGAGGCCTTGGTACTTGGGATAATATAGCTAAAGTTAGATGGATCTTGGCAGAAAGTAGGGAGTACCAGAGGAATGTCTATCTGTGTTTCATTGGCTATGCAAAGACATTTGACTATGTGGATCACAACAAACTGTGGCTGACACCGAGAAGAATGGCAATCCCAGAACACTTGATTGTGCTTATGTGAAACCTATACTTGGACCAGGAGGCAGTAGTCAGAACAGAGCAAATAAGCACTGCATGGTTCAAAACTGGGAAGGGTGTATGCCAGGGATGTGTTCTTTCTCCATACCTTTTAAATCGATGTGCACAACAGATATCTGAGAGGCAGGGCTCTATGAGGAGAAATGTTGCATCAGGATTGGAGGAAGACTCATCAACAATCTGTCTTATGAAGATGACACAACCCTGCTTGCTGAAACTGAGGAGGACATGAAGCGCTTGCTGCAGAAGGTCAAGGACTGCAGCCTTAAATATGGATTGAGGCTCAACATCAAGAAAACTAAGATTCTCACCACTGGACCGATTGGCAGCATCATGATAGATGGTGAAGAGATTGAGATAGTTAACAGCTTTAGTTTGCTAGGCTTCACAATTTACCCTCTTAGTACCAAGAACCAGGAAATTAAAGGACAAATTGCATGGGAAAGTCTGCTGTCAGAGACTTCTCTAAAGTACTGAAAAGCAATGATGTCAGTCTGGAGAGTGAAAGGCACCTGATCCAGGCCGTAGTCTTTGCAATTACTTGCTATGGATCAGAAAGCTAAATAATGACTAGGGATGATAGAAGGAGAATTGATGCTTTTGAGCTTTGGTGCTGGAGAAGAGTATTCACTATACCATGGTCTGCTAGAAGAACAAACAAGTTTGTCCTAGAGAGGGTGAAGCCAGGCTGCTCCTTGGAGGTAAGGATTCTGAAGCTTCATTTAACATATTTTGGGCATGTCTCAAGGTGGGGACCAGTCCTTGGAGAGGGATGTCATGTTTGGGAGGATGGAGGGACAGCGCAAGAGAAGATGACAGAATGAGATGGATCGATTCAGTGATTGAGGTAATGGGAGTAGGTATGTCAGAGACAATGAGGTTGGCACAGGATAGAGCAGGGTTTAGAGCTTTTGTACATAGGGTCACTGTGAGTTGCAGGCAACTCAATGACACATAGCAACAACAATACTGATCTGATAAATCTATCTTCTCCTATCTTCTGGAAAAGTCTGTATAAAAATAAAATGGGTATTACTTCTTTGTTAAATACTTGGTAAAATTTACCAATGAAATAATCTGGGGCCAAGAGTTTAATTCAATCTCTTTGACAGACATAGGACTATTTTTCTATTAGTTACTAATTGAGCTCTCATAGTTTATGTCTTTCAAGAAAATTATCTTTCCATCTGGTAATTTCATTACTAATCATCTCATGAGCAGTTTGTCTCTCCTGGAAAAGAAGATTAACATTACAAAGTGTCTTAAGGAGACACTTGCAACACGTGAGGTCACTGCAACAGCAACGGGCGGGGGGGATCCATCTTTAAGTGGGCCCCTTCTGTTCAAATCCATGTTGTTCAAGGATCGATTGTCTATTACACTAGAATTCTTGGTTTTGCAGGAAGTTGGTGCCTCTAACCTGTATTGTTCAAAAGTCTGACCACTGTTCTCTAAACACTATACCAGCTGATTTATTCTTACTTGTTTCTAAAAGTCAAACCATTATTTCCTTTCTCACACAAATGACCATTGCTAACCAAGTTTCATGTTTTCTTGTCTGTTTAAAATATCCCAAATACATCTCTTATGTTACGATGCTCTTCATTTCCTTAGAATACTTTACTAGAACAATCTTCCTTTATTGTTGTGACATTTATATTTGTTATTATAAGTACAGATTTACATGATTTTTATTATTTCTTTTACTAAACCCTACTTTCCTTAAGGATAAAGAATGATTTTTATCACAAATATAAAAATGACTCAAACTTAACAAAATATATACACCAAAATAAAGATAAAGTATATAAGTAATTGCCTGCTGATAGTCCAAAAGAATGTGTGTATGGAGGAATAAAGTATTGGTGTCTGTGTAATACTCCCTTTTATCATGGGAATTTACATTCAGTCCTTTTCTCCCATGCCCTGTCTTCTCTTATTTTCTTACTAGGCTTATCCCCACTAACTCTGGACCCTAAAACAGCTCACCCAAATTTGGTGCTCTCCAAAAGTCAAACCAGTGTGTGGCATGGTGACATTAAGCAAGTGATGCCTGATGATCCAGAGAGGTTTGACTCAAGTGTAGCTGTCCTGGGCTCCAAAGCTTTCACATCTGGAAAGTGGTACTGGGAGGTAGAAGTAGCAAAGAAGACAAAATGGACAGTCGGAGTCGTCAGAGAATCTATTATTCGGAAAGGCAGTTGCCCTCTAACTCCTGAGCAAGGATTCTGGCTTTTAAGATTAAGAAATCAAACTGATTTAAAGGCTCTGGATTTGCCTTCTTGCAGTCTGAAACTGACTACTGACCTCAACAAAGTGGGCATATACTTGGATTATGAAGGAGGGCAAGTATCTTTCTACAATGCTAAAACTATGACTCATATTTATACTTTCAGTTGTATTTTCACTGAGAAAATTTATCCCTACTTCTGCCCTTGTCTGAATGATGGTGGAGAGAACAAAGAACCACTGCAGATTTTACACCCAGAGTAGTCACACTGTCATGTTAATAAGAGTGTTATTAAAAAAAGTATTGAAATAGTTTACCAGTCTCACTAGTTTTTCTTTTCATTTTATGGAGAATGATGAACTATGAAAAAAGGAAATAACAAATCAAATTCCATTATCATGGTTCTAAACAGGTTTCTCTGGCACCTTGCAAGACATTATTCTAATTCCCTGGGGTTTTCTATGGCACTGACTGTTGTGTGAGTGATCCTACACCATCCTTTTGATCTCTGCCGTACTCTTCCAAGCTTATCGTTGCCGTCACTGTGTCAATCCATCTCTTTGACTGTGTTCCTCTCTTTCGCTGTCTGAATGATGTCTTTTCCCAAGAACTGGTGCCTCCTGACAATATGCCCAATGTATATAAGTATAGGAGTAGGTCATGTTGTAACTCAGTTTAATATTTTTAAGAACTGGCCAATTGTTTTAAATTCCTACCAGCAATGCATGAGTAATATTTAATTTTTAGTTTATCTACTTTCTGACTAGCATTTGTTATTTTCCATTTTTCTAATAATACCCATTGTCTTATTGGATAAACACTTGCACTGCCAACCCAAAGGCAGGTAGTTCAAATCTATCAGATGCTCAGTGAGAGAAAGATGTACAGTTTCCTCGTATGATATTTACAGCCTCTGAAAACCCACTGGAGGGTCAGCTATGAGTAATTTCTAACTTGATAGCAATGAACAGGAATATATGAGTATGTTGTTGTTATAGATTGCTGAGTTGGAACCAACTCATAGCTGACCCTCCAGTGTGTAGTAAATGAGAGGCGAATGCTCCTCTTTCTCCTGGAGAGCTGCTGGTGGATTGGACTAGAATGCCTTTGGGTTGACAGCACAACTCCTAACTGTTAGACTGCCAGAGCTCCCTGTAAAAGTGGATCATACTGTGGTTTAGGGTTGTGTGGTTTTTTTTTTTTTTTGCTTATTTCATTTTCTGTTATTTCTAAAAAATAGTTTTAATTCAATAATTTATATAAATTATGCCCTATAACAACAATTACAATTGATCAATGTCTTTTAGTCACACTGTGGGTTTTTTATTTGCATATTCCTAATAACTATACTAGGCACATTTCTGTGTGCTATTTGCCATTTGTATATTTTCTTTGGGGAAATATCTATTCAGAATGTCCCTTATCTTTTAAAAAACTTTGGTTGCCTTTTGTTGTTGAATTGTAAGAGGTCTTTCTATATTCTAAGGAGCTCTGGTATGAAATATATTATGCATGAGGCGGCAAACTAGAAGGTCTGCAATTTGAATAAACCGTCTTGTATTTTAGTGAGAAAGACAAGCCGTTTCCTCTTCTAAAGTTTTACAGCCTTGGAAATTCAACGGAGGATCACTATGAGCTGGAAAGAACTCAGCAATAGTGGGGAGGGCTTTCTTTTTTATATTATGGATATAAAAATTTTATCAGATACATGATTTGCAAATATTTATCTAATTTTTTAGTTACCTTGACAGTCTTCTTTGAAGCAACCCATCTATTTTTTTTACTATATTCTTT